CTCTGCTTCCAGGTTCAAGCGATTCTTGTGCCTCAGCCTCCTGACTAGTTGGGACTACAGGTGTGCAACATCACACCCAGCTAATTTTTGTACTTTTAGTAGAGATGGGGTTTCACCATGTTGGCCAGTCTGCTCTTGAACTTCTGACCTCAAGTGATCTGCCCACCTCGGCCTCCCAAAGTGGTGGGATTACAGGGGTGAGCACCTGCGCCCTGCATACTACAGTTATTTTTATCAAGTGTCCTTTTTCTCTTCTTCTTCATCAATTTCTTGTTGTTAAATTCAATGGTTATTTTCATGTCTCCAGCCTCTTCAACTTCTTAGCAGCATTCCACCCTTGACCACTGAAGGTCAGTGACAGCCTTCTTGAAACACCGTTCTCTCATAAACAACATAATCCCCTAATCTCCTGGAAGTGTTCTTATGCTAAAGTGTTCCTTGCTGGCTCATGGGGCAGGTGCTGGGTTTGCTTCTTGTTGCTGTCTACACAGTATTCCTAAGTAAGCTTATGGGCTCCCATGACTTTAAAGACCATTTCGATCAGTGGTTTTGGTTTTCAGAGTGTAGTCTCTGGATCAGAAGTGTGATACCAGCATCACCTGGAAACTAATTCTAAATGCAAATGATCAGGTCCAGGCTTAAGGAATCAGAAATGGCTTGGGCAGTGTGTGTGTGTTGGGGGAGGTGGGGGGGCGCACAGGGAATGACCATGACTATCAATTACTGTTTTCACAAGCTTTCTGGAATCTTCTGAGGCACACTGAAGTTTGAAAGCCTTGGATCTAAATTAGTGCATTTCATAATGCAGGTTGTGACTTGTTTGTTAGTCATAAAATATACTGAGTTGCAACCAATGTTTAAAAACATGAAATAGGATAAAATAAAAAAGAATAAAATTCACACATTATAAAGGTAAGTAATATTTCATAAAACTTTTGTTTCAATTATACATGCATGTTCCTGTGTGTGTTCATCTATACTGGTTAAGTAAAGTGTATTTTACTGTGGGTCACAGTCTCAGGCTCAAAAAAGCCCTCACCTATATGATGACTATATGAGCCAGATCTTTGCAGTGTGGTTCCTTCTTCATTTAGGTTTCATTTTGGAGACAGAGTCTCACTCTGTCATTCGGCCTGGAATGCAGTGGCATGATTTCGGCTCATTGAAGCTTCTACCTCACAGGCTCAAGCGATCCTCTCACCTCAGCCTTCCAAGTGGGTGGGACTACAGATGCTCACCACCACACCCAGTTAATTTCTTGTAACTTTTGTAGAGATAGGTTTTGCCATATTGCCCAGGCTGGTCTCGAACTCCTGGACTCAAGTGATCCCCCTGCCTTAGCCTCCCAAAGTGTTGAGATCACAGGCGCGAGCCACGGTACCCAGCCTATTTGGGCCTTTCTTAACCATTCCACTTAATATCGTCTTCTCCAATGCACTTATTCTTATGCTACCATGTTTTGTTTTTATTTTTTATTTCTGTTTTAAAATTTATTTTTAACATAATTTTTAAATTTTATTATTTTATTTCATTCAGAGACCTTATCACTATTTAAACTATCTGATTGTTTATAATCTTTCTCCCTACCAGAATCTAAGCTAATGAGAGCAATGGCCATGTTCCCTTCCATATTCTCAACACCTATAACAGTGTCTCCCCACGCATAACATCCAACTCAATAAACACTTCTTATCTGAATAAACTTTATAATTAAGTAACTAGTAAAGCCAGCTCTTAACATGCTTTAGACTAGTATGTGATGGCTCACGCCTATAATCCCAGCACTTTGGGAAGGATAGTATGAGCCCAGGAGTCTGAGACCAGCTGGGCAAAATAGCAAGATTCCATCTCTACAAAAAAATTAAAGGCTGAGCATGGTAGCTCACGCCCATAATCCCAGCACTTTGGGAGGTCAAAGTGGGCGGATCACCTGAGGTCAGGAGTTTGAGACCACCCTGACCAACATGGAGAAGAAACCCTGTCTCTACTAAAAATACAAAATCAGTGGTGGTGCATTCCTATAATCCTAGCTACTCGGGAGGCTGAGGCAGGAGAATCGCTTGAACCTGGGAGGCTGAGGATGCAGTGAGCCGAGATGGTGCTGCTGCACTCCAGCCTGGGCAACAAGAGTGAAACTCTGTCTCCAAAAAAAAAATATTAGCCAGGCCTGAGGTGGCACACACTTGTGGTACCAGCTACTTGGGAAACTGAGGTTTCAGTGATCCATGATTGTGCCACTGCACTCCAGTCTGGGTGACAGAGCAGGACCCCATCTTGAAAAACCCCCAAAAACCATGTGTATCTCATCCCTGGATCTCTCTAATAAAATCAGCACTTCCCTGTAGGCCGACAGCTTACATTGCAGCCATCTGCTGCAGAATCATGGTCCTTGGGAAAGTTACAGAGCCATACTTTCATCACTGTAAAAACAAAGGCTTAGTCTTCGGACAAGAATCTGAGAAAACAGCAACCCAAAATACTTTTAGTTTAGAACAGATGAGCAGAGTGTTCATTTAATATGAGTCAAGGAACAAAGAAAAACCCATGGGATCTATTTCAAAAGGGAATACTGGAAGGCCAGAGGCTTCAGGTTCACGTGCATTTCAAATGTGAATTATCTAACAAATACCTCCATACAGTTCAAACTCTTCTGGAGAAGGTTAACAGTAAATTTAATAGGGTATAAAATGGGGACGGTACACTGGGAAGGAAAAAAATTAGGAAGCAAAATGAAGAGAAAAGTAATATACACAGCCAAAATAGGTCTGCTGGAGAATCTATGAAATGTATAATATTATAGCTCAAGAATGGCTCAATATTAGAAGTCTTTTTCTGCATTTGAAGTAAATTAGTGTCCTTCTTGACCCCACTGCTGCCGTGTATATGTGCCTGTGCAAATGAGCTTGTAACTTTGGGGAGGACGCTGCTGAGTCTGCCTATTTTAGGCATAGAAGTGATATTTAAGAGAGAACCCCAAATCACTCTGTACCTATTTTTTTTTTAAGAGACGGGGTTTCACCATGTTGGTCCAGCTAGTCTTGAACTCCTGACCTCAGGTAAGCTGTCTGCCTCAGCCTCCCAAAGTGCTGGAATTATAGGCGTGAGCCACTGTGCCCAGCTCTACCTATTTCTGCAATCATAATGAGTTTTAAGTAACAGCAAGTGTCGATCATGTTACAGGTTCTGGAGTAAGAGTCCATGGGTTTGAACCCCATTTCTACTATTTGTTAGCTGTCTAACTTTAGACACATTCTTTAATTTCTCTGAGCTTTTATTTGTAAAATTAGAACCTCACAAAATTAGTATGTTGACTGAGTTAATAACACACATAAAGGCTTTAAAACAATGCCTGGTACATGGTAAACCAGAGCATTTAGTAGGTATCACATTGCCTGTACTAAGCTCTTCAAAAGCTTTTTCTCCTCTAATTGTTGCAACAATACTAGGAGGCAGGTTATAAGATATTTGCTCACCCCCACATAGATAAGCAAGTGTGAACCATGAAGAAGTTAAATAACTTGTCCAAAAACTCACAACTAGCAAGTAATGGAACTAGGATTAGAACATAATCTTAGGTGCACACCTCAACAAATACTGGCCTTCTAGGAACCCAGAATGTATGGAGTAATCAACAACTCAGCTCCATTCTGTGGCAGTTGCCCTGATATCTGTATCAGAACAAGGAAATATATTACACATGTGCACATACATATCAACTTTATATACCATGTGTAGCTCTCCAAAAAGAGACTGAGAACTAAAGCCCACAGTACACTTATCACACTTTGTTCCCATGCCTTTGCATTATCCCTTCCAGGGTGGTGGTTCAATCAAGACAAAAGGAGCGATGTGTTACTCATTCCATCGCAGACTCACTTAACACTGTTACTAAAAAGCAGATGGTATTCAAAAATGATTTATTGAATGCATGAAGAAAATGATGCTAGAAAGGGCTTTATAAAATTGCAAAGTACAATTCAAGTTTTTATAACATCAACTTAATTATTATAAAGTTACATTTATTTTATATTTTATTTCTATTTATATATTTGTTACTTATTAAGAAAAATATAAATAATTATTATAACCATAATAGGAGCTATAATACTTATCAAAGACTCACTATGTGGCAGGCTTTATTGCTTTATTTTAATCTTCATTACAACCCTATGAAGTAGGTATCATTATTGCACCCTTTTTATAGAAGAGGGCATATTTAAGGTCACACTCTAGGAACTGCTAGAGTAAGAATTTTGACTCAATTTTGATATTGAATTCCTTTTCTATATTGTAGAAGGGAAAACATTCTGTTAAGGAAGCATATGTTTCACATACCATAAAATTCACCAATTTACAATGTATAAGTCAGTGATTTTAGTATATTCACAAACTGTGTAACCATCACCACTATCTAATCTTAGAACATTTCATCACCTCCAAAAGAAATTTGGTATGCATTAGCAATAGTATACACTATACAGACATAAAAGAAATGCAAATTATTTTAAGTAAAGCCACAGTTAAATATATGTATGAATGGATATTTGATTCATCTAATGCAAAAGAAAATCGTGAGATGAATTTTAAAGGACAAAATACAAGTTGGTGGGCTTTCTGTGATTCTGCATTAGCAACATCACTTTGAGTAAGGCAAGTAATCAACAACTGAAATCTACATCCAACCCAGATAATTATGGGTCAACTTCTAATTTCAAAGACTAGGGACATTTTTCTATTCACAACCAAACAATAAGATTAGAAGGAAATATAGGAAAAATAGTGTACAGTATAGCTTCCTTCAATATTCCCTTTCTCAGTGTCAAAGGGAAAAGCTGAGGAAATGATGCCACAAAAGCTTAAAGGTATAGATTTGCTTTTTCAGCATACGTTCATGCACATTTTTGAAGAACTCACAGCCATATATTTGATAATTTACAACAGTCATTAAAACATAATTTAATAAGTTCTGCATCTACCCTAAATAGTGAAAAGGCACTCACGGTGGGTAAAGGCATCTTCTTCTTCATTTTCATCACTGTCATCAGACCGAGCTTTATAAGGAGGAGGGAGTTTCATTGGCGGTGGGGCAGTTCCTTGCCTCTGAAGATGCAAAATTTGAGAGAAGGGTTAAATGCTGTGTTTGTACAATGCTCTTCTTTCAATGACAAAAAGCATAAAAAGACAGTCTGGAAATATTTAGACCATACCCAACTTCATTCGTATCATGAGGATTGTAAAACAAACACAATGTATTCTTTTATGTTTATGTTATAATATAAAAGTGACTCTGTGATATAAACACACTAATGCAGAAAAATAGGAATTTAAAAGCAAGTTTTTAAGACTGTTACCTACCTAAAAGAATGCATTCCTTTCTCTAGTGAGAAAATCAGTTATTTGTATTTTATTTACATTGTAGAAGTTTAATTTTGTTATTAACCAGAAAATTCAAGTGAAAGACATTTCTAAAATAAATGTAAAAGTAAAAACTATCCATTGTATTAATTCTACAATGATTTAAACTTTTTCTTCAATTGTAGAAGTTACAGATTTTATTCTTTAAAAGACACGTGACAGACCAAGATTTTCTAACTGAAAATGTATTCATCTATAATTTATAGATGGTCAACATGCACTTCAACATTTTCAAAAAGAGATATCTTCACGGTGAATAATTATATCTGCATAAATATTCATTCAATTCACATATGAAATGATACAGCACATCAATATTTGGTTCATATACACAATTAAAGTAGAATTAAACTCTAGGATCAAATTACCTTCACAGAATGAAGACATTTTCTTGAACGATGGAAAAAATAAAACATGCCAAACTCAATGGTGAGACTCAAGCTGCTAAAAAGAATAGGAGCCGATATACCCAAGCACTTCACAAAAACCAACATAACTGGATTATGCTACAGGATTTCAATAAAGTACATTCAATTATGCTTTATATGACAAAACCACTAATGGCAGGATACACTTCAGTAAGTGGCCAATGAGTGGTCCATTACAGAAAGCAGGCATGTAATAAATTCCTCCAAAATAGAAAACACTATTTGAGAGTCATAAAGGAAAGCATACACCCTTATTTACTTAAGATAATGTCGAACCAAAGCAGAAACTATATACACTTGTAGAAAATGCAAAAATCTATAAAATACAAGAGTGATGACGGAAGATGCCAAATACAAAATGCCTCTTAGGCAAGAGGAGAATCCAGAAATGTGATCACTTTGTCTCTTTGATTCTTTTAAGTTGAAAAAAACTTAAAACTGAGTGAAATGAAGAGTAAAGGCAAATGAACTCTTTTCAATAACTTTTCCCTCAGAACCAGGATATTCTATATCAAAGACAATACTCAGAACAAAGACAGCCAGGTTTTAAAATAATATTGAGATGAATTCTGTTTAATGGAATTTTTTATATCTAAGGCAAAATTGTACAACTGATTTATTTAATTAGTTTCTACTGATATTCTTGAAAAAGAATACAGAATAAGCATGTCCTGGTCTCCTTATAGTCTGAATGTGGATTGCCAGATACTGCACACGAGAGAAGGGTGTGTACAGGGCCAGGCTCTCCCCAGGTGTGGCAAAGGCAGCCGGAGCAAGGGATGTACAACCAGACCAGGTGATTATGGCCTTCAGGAGGGTAAAGCACAAAACAGACTCTGTGGTATCCTCAACTCTGAGAACAGTCCTGGGGACACAGTAGGCCTCCCTGAACGATTTGCTGAATGACTAAACAACTGGTTGTCACTCGTGCTGTTTGGGTTCCCTGACGTATTATTAACCTTAGAAAAATGTCAGAGATGCAAATAATTCTTGCTCGATATCATTGCATATTAATTGTGTCTGGTAGAGATGCAAATGATTTTAGTCCTGTAGAAAAGATCACTTCAAAGGTTACAGTTTTATTGCCCTGTAAGACATTAACCAGTTTTTTATCTAAATCGGAATCTTAAGCATTCTTTCTTTTAGCACTCTCTTCAATAGCACTTCACTCTCTTCAATTCTCTCTGCACCAGGCTTACCATCCTATTGGTTCCCTCATTAATGAGTTAAATAAATACCTGGCACCTGCACATTTTGCATAATTTTCAGTCATGTTTTTATTTTTTTCTTAAATTATGCTTTGAACAGTTTTGGAGGTCCCACAGAGATGCTCAAGCAGACTCACCTACCAGAACCAATTAAATTGTGATGCCTCAGAGATGCAATTCATGAGCTGTTTAAGCCCATTTACATGATTTTTTGGCACCCACAGTTAATTCCAAGTGGCAACAGAACTTTGCTTTTTTGAGAGTTTCTCTGATTTTTATTTCCAGTTCTATGATTTTGTTTCTGATATGAGACCAAGTTTGGTTCTGATACGTACTTGTAATTCCTCACTGATAGTAGAAATAAATGAAGTTTGGTTTTATGGTCTGACCATTTAGAGTTATTTGTTGGGATGAGAATCTATAATATATTGGTTCTATAAAGATCTATTCTCGACTGGTTGAGAGACAACAGAGAATGCATTTTTTAGTCTTTTTGTGTGCCTGTCTGTCTTTTTGTACAAGACCATGTCTTGGGTCCACTGGAAAGAACAGCTCTTTGACAAAAAACCAGTGGGGTTTTGCATTCCTGTGTCTACATTCGACATATGGCTATAGCTGCAGGACAGAAGCTGAACACATTCTGTGTATCTGCACTGGAGAAAGAAAAGTCCTTACCTTTCATTTTGAGTGTGAAATATTTTCCTACCTTCAGAGCATATTTATAAATTAGATGTAAATTTCTCAAAATAAAGAATCTCTTTCTGATTGCTTATAGAAATGAGCATTATTTAAATGTAATATTCCCAGAGTTTCCAGAAAATAGTTGACTAAAATTACATTACTTTAAATGTACAAGCCTTTTAATAATAATTTTAAGAATCTCTTTTTCACGAAAACCACAAACTCAGAATCATTTTTATATAAGAATCCTAATTCACATAATCAAAGTTCATAACCTCTTGAAGAAAGAAAATATGTGATATAACACTGAAGACAACCTTAGAAAATAGCCAAGAGTTTTTAGGAACCGTCAGTTAATACTAGTATTTCTTTTTTGTTTTGAGACAATCTCACTCTGTCACCCAGGCTAGAGTGCAGTGGTGCCATCTCGGCTCACTGCAACCTCCGTCTCCTGGGTTCAAGCAATTCTCGTGCCTCAGCCTCCCAAGTAGCTGGGATTACAAGCTTGTACCACCACACCTCGCTAATTTTTGTATTTCTGGAAGAGACGGGGTTTCACCATGTTGGTCAGGCTGGTCTTGAACTCCTGAAAAATGATCTTCCCACCTTGGCCTCCCAAAGTGCTGGGATTACAGGGGTGAGTCACTGTGCCTGGCCAATATTAGTGTTTCTATGAATCCTGATTGCCTATTCACTCTACATAATGCAAAACAGATCAAAAAACAGTGAACTGAGGCAAACGAGAATAAAACTAAAGACTTATGCAAGATCTGCTCATTGGTTTTTTGTTTGTTTAGTTTTTAGTCACTCTCTGTTTTTAAAGTGAATGATCTCAAACCAAACCTAGACCTCGGTTAGAAATGAGTTTCAGGTGATTTGTATCGTCCATGATTCTTGAGACCATGTCTTGCTTTTATACTAAGGAGAAAATAAGATACACAAAAAAACTTCTTCTAGTGATAATAATTTTTAAAGAGATACATTAGTCACCTGGCTTCCTAACCTTGAAAAGAGTATGCTCTCAAAGCATGTTGGGCACATTTTTATTTTCATACTAATTACATTCTCTTTATTTCACTCCACGTGGCACCCTGATCTGAATGCCTCTTATGGTGAAGGCGCCTTGTCATTCCAGAATGTAGCAAAATGCTTGGCATCTAAGATGCAATTTCAGAGAAAAGTAATACAGTAAAAAGAGCATTCAGCACTAAAAGACCATCCTGTAATGAAGATGTAGATTCTGATTTGATTTCTCCTGTTGCCACATTAATGCAGTGGCTAGGTGTTTTTCTTTGTGACAAATAACTCAGTTGACTTTTGGTATTACATGTTCCTACTGGGGTTTTTACTGAATGCAAATACCCTTGCCATGCATTGAAATTCAACTGGTTTAATGGAGCAGTCCAAAGTTGATAATCACACACATACTTTTTTCTTTCCTGGGATCTTATGTGGAATTTTCCTGAACTGATTACATTATCTTGTTCCCAGATGTGGCTGGAGTAGCAACCAGTTCATTCACCTACGTGGTGTTCATTGTCTGTGTCCCCACGGAATGTTACCTTATATGTTTCCTTTTTGGTGTTATATCCCCAGATTGTTGCACAGTAACTGGCTGACTCTAGGTAACCAATAAACACTTGATGAATGTTCACATCTTTGCATCAACATATGAATTGACAAAATTCCAGCAATAGGGTAGATTAGGTATTCTGAAGAACCCTTCTTAACCACATAAAAATGACAGATTAAAGTTTAAACAGTGCTTTTGTGACATGTGACTGAAGTCAGAAACAACTATAAATCCCAAATCAGGAGGTCCAGTGGACCACTGGAAGGCGACACTTGCCTGGAGGGCATCTGCCAACCCTTGGAAACCTAAAGCCAGAGATCTGATTTGATTTTAGGATTCTTTATTCATTCAAGAAATATATATGACGCCAGGCAGTGTTCTGGGCAATAGAGGTAGAGTAATAATCCAACAGATGAGGTTCCTGCCCTCATGGAGCTTAAATTCCAGTCCCTTCCAAATGTCACATTTTGTGGGTTTCCATGTCTTGTCCCCAAATTACTTTAAAGTAGCAGTTACTGGCCAGGCATGGTGGCTCACATCTATAATTCCAGCCCTTTGGGAGGCCAAGGCAGGCAGATCACCTGATGTCAGGACTTCAAGACCAGCCTGGCCAACATGGTGAAACCCCATCTTTACCAAAACAATACAAAAATTAGCCAGGTGTAGTGGTGTGCACCTGTAGTCCCAGCTATTCAGGAGGCTGAGGCAGGAGATTTGCTTGAACCTGGGGGGTTGAGGTTGCAGTGAGCTGAGATTGCACTGCTGCACTCCAACCTGGGTGACAGAGTGAGACTC